AGCCACGCTCAGGCCATTGTTCGAAGTATTATCGGTTGGTTCAAGAACCTCAGGTTATTGCCGATCATAACGCTCCTCCTTTCACATATAAGAAATTGATGATGATGTTTTCGGGGGGAGAATCACTCACTATAAGGTCCATGAAGCGGCTTCAAACGGAATCACCTTTCTACCTACTTTCCTTGTCCCCGACTAAACAGTGGACTCCTGCCGTGGAGAAGGAGGGGGATGGGGCCGCCACCTTCTACATTTGTTTCAGGAAGAGTTGGGACAGCATTCCTCATCAATGTCTTATTTACAATAACGAGACCCTCCGGGCCTAAAATATAAAATTTACTTATTTATTTACAAGCCTTCTGAACATGGCAAAATGAAACAAGCAGCTTAATAACACGAATCACAGTGTTTACTGCGGGGATGTCGCAAACCATGTGCGCGTACACCTTTATGTCAACCCCACCCCTTTTTAGGTGGTCTTCGTCGGCAGACCCTTAATATTTATTGCATATATAAACGCCCGCACCGTTGAGGAATAGAACGAAATTGCTGTTATTGTACCAACTCATTCACAACCTTGTGGAATTATTTGCAGGAAGTAAATCAAGCAACCTGGATACTGTTCGAACGGAGACGCATATTTGTATATATCGATCAGGAATTACGTCACAGAAACTTTCTTATTCGAACTAAATTGCAAGGAGGGATTATTGCTCATTGGAAAGAGTGCAGGCAAAAGGTAAGAAGACAGACGAGAATCTTTGCATTTTATTATAAGAGGCCTGACTGGTTTACCTTGATTTGTTTTAGTCTGCATTGATAAAAACCCCTTGTGGTTACTGTCATTATTCGCTTCCTCTCAATTACAAGAGACTGCCGGATAACCCATCCAGCCATACTGGAATGCTAGAGACCGTAAAAGTCGCCCGCGGCTCAGTGACTTCTTTGAATTATTGGAAAAAGTCTGCTTAGCGGTTCATTCTTTAATTCTGCAGAAGATGTTGACATATACGAACGTCGACAGAGTACCTTTTCAGGAAAATTCAGTTGGATGTGGAAGGGACTCTTCCTTGCGATGTAAACTTAACACACTTTACATACTCACTTGCTGATAAACTTCTGTACTTATGCCTGAGGTAATATCATTGTCGGCTGCTCGCACCCGTTCCACATTTATCGATAACCTTACAGTATACACAATTGTAGATAAAAAAATCAGTTTTTTAGTTTCGGATAAATCAAGAATTAAAAGTTGAAAACGTTTTTCTTCTATAAAATGTCGAAAAAGCAACATGATTTCTTGCTAAAGCACTTGAAACAGTTTTAATAAGCTAAAATAAAGGCAGTAATATGCACTAATGACTTTTGGTGCGTTCTGCTGTTGCACTCACGTTAGGTTTAAAAGACAAAAACTACTTCAAAAAACCTCAAAGTTTCATCATCCTACATTTCCCATTCCACTGAAAATGACCCTAGTAAATTTAATTGATCGCTGCACCTATTCACGAATTTCCTTTATGTGTCTGTTGTGTATAATTTACATAGAAATATAGACATGATACGGATGAATTGCTAGTCTGAATTCAATTTGGACAATGAACAAAGTTAGCTTTCCAATGTATTTTTGTTTATTTGTCGATTGACGTGATTGTTCGCCATTTTATCCGTTTTATTTGAGATGGACTTGGTATACGTACGTATACGTATAGCCATAGCTACATAGGAGCTGGCAACTACTCCGATCACCAGGTTGCTTGTGCAATGTTATCATGCAATAGCATGACTCAGTACACAAATAACTTATCGAACACTCTTAACCTCCGCCTGAAATCGAGAGCAGACTCGATCGGTCCGAGAGTGGACCATCAGCCATCGGCGTTGTTCATCTCTAAAATGGAAAAAAAGTAAAATGAACCGTATATGAGACAAAGTAGAGTTAAATATTTGATCATGAGGGAGTTGGACTGTTTAATTTTTTTCGTAGGATCAGAGGAGCTTTGTGAAGAAAAAATGTTTACAGCATTTTGGAATTCACGTGTTTCATAGAATATTTGTGGAGACTCATGAATTTGGATGAGCCAACGTTGCGTTCATCAGGCTCATTGACCGTCCCCTATGTACCCCATTATATGAAAGGCAATATGTCTAGTCATACGTAGATGCCTGTTACGGCCGGGAATAAAAGAAAAAAACTATAATCTTCAAGGAAGTCCTATCCGCATCGAATTTATTCGGCGAGATGGGATGGTCGCGTTAGGGACGCGGTTTCATCGAAAGAGCTCTGGCTTCCTTACTGTAAATGCAAACATTCAATAGACCAAGCGAAATAAACTATATTGAAGTAAGACCAACACACTGTTAGTAAGAATGTATACTTTTTAAACTGTCACCTAATGGTTTTAGGAATTTACTACCTGACTGTAACATCATACTGGATGAACAGTACAAAGAAAAACTGTTTCCCAGACAGGCATTAGCGCATTTACCGTTCCTCGGAGATATTTACAATTTACAAAGGACTGAGACACAATTGTGGTGAACACTGAGCATTGATTGCCTGCTTAAACCAGCCAGCTATGTTAGGATTTAAATACCGAGTTATGAAGAACGTATGGCGATGGAAGTTCGACAGATCAGTTGACTGCCACTTGCGGTTGGCTAGTCCTGTCAATGCAGCTTAGACCAGCCATGTGAATGTAAGACGCAAGCAAGTCAGAGGCACGATTGCGATTTCCATATTAAGACAACATCTGCTAACCAAGAATTGCGTGCAGTTGTTTGCCCCGTGAAAACAATTATATGGAAGTATCGTCTCTTTGAATTTGGCCATCCAGGGTTTTGGTTTACTGGTTTAAATTCTGTTAATTTAAATACTTTTTTGAATAGTGCGTGTATATGTGAAGTATAGCAAAGTACGGTTCCCTAAGTACTATAAAACGGAACAAGACCCTCAGTACCCCTCAATATAACTGGATACGGAAGACTTTTAAGACACTAGATTGTTTTTCTTCATGTAAGCAAAATAATGGATATGCCTTTAAAAAACTTAACACTTCAGGAAAGGCACGTATATAAACTGATCAGAGCGGCGAGTCAGGGCTTTATAAAAAGCATTCAGTTATACAATTGAAAATTTCCAGGTTCTTAAGGTACTGCTTGATTTCGAATTATATTGATGGTTGAAAATGTTGACGATCAGATGATGAATAATCAGAGCGATAGTTCTTTCAATCTCATTAAGGCGTCTTTGCTATGTATAATACACTAAAGCGGACAACGTTTCTCTCAATACAGCGAAGTAAAGACATAATGTTACGCTGAGTATGTTTTAATCTTGGAGTTGAACTCTGCCGCAAAGCTAATCGTTTTCGTTTATTCAAATCCTTTCTCGGGCGCCGTCCAAATCTTGGATATGCTCTTTATTTTTTAGTTGATCGATCTTAATGAATAACCTTCCTCCTCTCAGTCCGGCCGTAGAAACATACATCTGTTGGTTAATTGATAATCAACCCGAGGCTTTGCAGTAAGTAAATTATATACTTTTTGACATCTACAGAGTATGCAACATAGGAGACTTGGCCATGATGTATGCTGAGGAATGTGGTATGGAGGCCTCACCGACATTTGTTCAAAACTTTTATGAAGCCTGCCTGAGGTTTCTCAGTCGCCTTAAAAAGTCTGCGGAACCTCTGAAAGTTTCGAAGGTACCAAACAACAATTTACACACTAATGTGAGTTTTTTTTACATCAAGTGTACTCTGTGCTGCAGATTCAGCAACTTTTTAATTTTTGTCAGTTGTTGGTCGTTAGTCCTCCAGGAACTGAAACTTTTTCGCTGCCTGGAACCCATATACTGTTCTTGAATTTTTTTGAACTCTTTAAACAGAGAAAATACGCGATCTCTTCTTTGGCTAACAAAAGCCTTTGCCATCTAAGGCTAAGTAGAAAAAAAAATAAAAAGCCAGTTTTTTCAAGCGAAAAGTTAGCACTATATTGCTGATCAATCGGTAATCTTTCTTCTGTAATCACGGACATCAGCTAGTGTTGCTCCCTTCATAAGTTAAACAATCTTTCCAATGGTTCTCCTCTAGGCTCAACTCCCGCATGTTCAACCATTCATAAAAATCAGGCATGCTTGTAACAGTGTGCGATGAGCTACTGAACACGTGGGGTTAGGTTAAACAAGGCAAACATTTCAAAGCCATCGATTGCTTGACAGCAAACCTAGGGACTTTTTGCCCCCCTCCCCTAAATCTAAGACATTTTCTTCAGGTTCTTGTTGACTCTCTCAAAGAACTCCATGTGCTTGAACCGTCTCAAAATAACCCCAATGAAACGCTAATGGACCACAACAATCTGTCTGTACGGAGTCGGCGTTCTTCTGGTGATGCACAACCGATCTCCAGGGTCAGTTGGTTACTCGTTTTTTCGCTTTCGAATTTTCGGTCGGTGTTTCTTATCCTCAGCGAGATTTATTCCGCAGTTTTTTTTAACATAAGGGTCTTGTGTGGTGCGCGGTGCGTTAGGTTACAGTCCATTACTAGACCGCAAAGAAAATTTTCACACAGGTTTCAATGGCAAGCAAATAAAAAATCAAAAACCGACAGAGGGATATGCTTGCGTAAAGCAAACAGTTCCTAAAAAGGCTGTAGCCGAGTCAATCATCTAAAAAGCGCAAGTAGGTCACTTAAAGGATGCAAAACACGATGCCAGTATTGGGCAGTGAAAATTATTTACAGGTACACGCCTAGTTCCTCGGTAAGAGTAATAGTTGCTTGGATGCATTCAAACGCATCCTGGATGCATATTTACTCAAAAGATACCGCTCATACGCACAAGGAAGCGTTGCTAGTAGACACGAACGCTTTGCTCATACATACAGATAACAAAATTTTACATGTACATATGTTACTCACTATTTTATAGTAACATATTTTATGTCAGATATTTTATGTAAACTGTTTTCAATAGGGTCTTCAAATGCATTGCCTACTACCCCAGATATACTAAACTGTACTGAACTATATTACACCGATAGTTGTTTTTACCCCTTTATGAAACCGAATGTTATAAACCAAAGTTGTTATTTGTAAGACGACCAGAATCCATTTTTGATATATCGTTTCCTGATCACCAAATAAAAGTAGCATCTGTTTCGGTCTCTTTTTGCTAATATCAAGTTGATCACGATCCACGGCCCGGTTATGATCAACTTTCTTAGCAACCTGGCGTAGGGGTTTGAC